ATTACCTCCTCGAAAAACACTGGGATAACGTTTCTCAAAGCTTGCTTAAGGTTCCTAAATCATTACAAAATCACTAAATTGCGGTTGCACTGCGGAAATCAGGAAAAAACTCCTAATAATCCCAAGGCATACTTTCCTTTAGAAGTAAGAATGAGATAATATTTGTAATTGCCCGTCGAAGGAAAGCGTTCATCAGCTGCTTCAGCTGCGTCAAATTCGGTCTTTGCAAGATTTTCTAGACCACAATTCCATACCTATAAGTTAGCATCAGTCGTCAAACCTTTTTATACGGCAATGGTTTAAAAATAGCAAATTTGAAACGAAGCACTACGAATAACTTTACACTCCGACCGATTTTCGCTATTTCCTCTTTGTGCTCACTGTGCTGATAACGCAATTATGTATTGGTGAAATAGAGATGTCAGTAGGAATTATTCTCAACTGACTGCAACAAACGCCAATCTCCATGATCTACTTTGTCACTTTGCCCAAGCGACGATAATGAAGTTGTTGGAATGGGCCCTTGTGAACTCTACCTGTTGTCGTTACACCCATCGCACCTGAGAGGAACCAGGCAAGAAGCTAGAAGCAGGTAGCTCTCTGCTAGAGAATGAACCACGCTCTATACATCACTTTCTGTACTTAGTAAAATCAGTCAATCACAATGTCTAGGTAAAGCCAATAGAGAATTTTCCTGAACCTTTCACTGTATTAGAATGATATGCGTTGAAAGCTCTGTCTCCTTCCATATTACCAAACAGGATTCTTAAACAATAATTCTTCAAACTGGACTACTTTCTTGCTATTTGCTGAAATAAGCGCTGTATCTAAATTTCCAGTGTGATTATCCCCCATTTCCCTTTCACGTGGATTTTTTGTTTCGTACGGTAGTACTTTTCATTGAAATCGTCTTTCAAAAATGCCCTTCGATTGTGAACAAATTGCCACTTACCACGGAAAAATTGTGTTGTCTATGGAATATTTCGAACATATCCTTGAACTCCTGCTTGACCTCACATTTTTCATTCGCTGAAATGATTGTTTCTTAGCGACCAAGCACTACTTGAATGCATAGAGTCATTTATGAACATAAAAAAGAGAACACCGGTATTATGCGGTACTCACTCACGAGTGGAAGCTTGGCCGCCTTCGACAGAACGTATATCACCTAAAAATACTTCGCGTATTACTCGTTCTGATGGTGAACAATCTTAACGCTCGAAACACTTACAGATAACATGAAAGCTAAAATCTGGTACATGTTGAGTTTTTAAAGAGTCACTTAACTGTGGTTTTTATACGCTTACAAAACCCTTCTTTGGTATGAAGGAACAAAGCACTTTTATTGCGCTATTCCAGAGCCCTGTCAACATGTTTTCAATCATGGAGCAAATTTCAAAACCTATATCGTACACAGCATTGAAAATAATAGTTAAAGCAATCCAACAGTCCTTAATTAGTCGTCAGCACGGATGTACTTTATGCTGAGCATAAGTTTTGCGAGTACACCTGAAGCTGACCAGAAATTTTGTAACTATCCTCAGTAGTAAGTGCCAATTACTTCACATTCTAATGTCATCTAGTACAGAAGGTTTTAATCGAAGAACCATCCTTATTTTCAAAATACTTTTTTTCAATTTTCATCAATTTTTTTCGCCTGCTTTATTTCATATCACAAATCACACAATATTCTAATGTCTGGTAAAGGGAAATGGATGTCGAGATTGTGATCGATCGATGTCTGAATCTTCTCCATTCTAATCCTTAGATACCACCATTTTGGGAACTACCGTCAACTGCAACTGGCTACATCATGGTGCTCTCAGTTCGTAAGTATCGATAACATACGCACCTACCATTGAACGTCTTCTCAGTTCTGTTGTGATGAATTCTCAGAAACGAGAGGAAACTTTGCAGAAAGCCGATAGTGTCACTATCAATAGTGATAGTGATCAATGATGCTTTCACCCAGTTGTTGACCACAAACTGCTACAGTGCAACATAATATAAACATTATTCTAAAGTACTTATGAAACCACCTGCGTTGAATAGAATCTCCGAAACGCTTCAAAGGATAAATAGACAGAACCTTTATGTTTATTGCTTACTATTATTAGTATGGAGCATTTTAGTATCCGGTGGAACTACACAACTAGTGGAAATTTTGAGCCATGCTGTTCTGCATAAATAAGTAACGTTCTCCTGAGCGGCTACTTCGCTTTTCTTCGCATTTTAACCAGTAGAATCGATGAAGGCAAACTTTATTTCGATCGTTACTTGTATATTAACCCTGATGATCACTGGATTTTTGATTTTAATTTTTTTCGCTGTTTTTAACGCTTTAAATGCACGTGTTTGGGTATAAGTACAAAAAAGGAAGAGTAAATGAAATTCTTTTATGATCTCATAAGCCGAGTATTTATTGGCTAGAAGAAAGTTAAAAACAAATTTTTCAAACCGACCTTGATTTAAGCCCGACATGAATGACCAATGTATCGTATTTCATTGATAAGCTAACACGAGATAGATACTAAGTATTTGTTCGGCAAACGTCTCGACGTCTTTGCTTCATCAGAGTCGATGATCCGAGACGACGGTTAACAGCCATTCGTCTTCTGTATGTGGTCTCTTGGTGGTCTTATCAGGTTGGATCTTCTTCATAAAGAGTCGAATCGTGATCAACGAAACCGTTCCTTACAAAGGAACGCTGCCTGGAGAGAATGTCTTATTGAGTCGGTGCTCCACTGAAGAAAATCCGCCTCGATACCATGGCGAAGACCCCACATAGAGAAGGCGAACGACGGCGGATCATTGACTTGGATCATCGGGACGAAATCGTCGGAATGTTTTCCGAGGAAATGTCTGGTAACCACCTTGTGTTAGCTTATCACTGGTATAAAAACATGTTAACAGAGCTTTCTTAAACTCCGCTTCAGAACAACGATGTCTTTTTGCACAAGATTTCAATGTTTGACTCTTTTATCCACTGCCTGGTTTAAAAGGTCGGACATTGTGGTTCTGACTAGATCCGCAGCTGGAATTATGTTGATTTGTAGTTCTCAGGCCATTCGTGTTAAGGGATAACTGCTGGAGACTGCGTTAGGGTAAAAAACAGGCTAATAGAAAGGCAAAGCACCTGCCTCGATGGTGCAGTGTGCAACAAGTGAGCACCCGGAAACGCTTGACTCTGGGTGGGGGTTTAAGTTTTGCAGATATTTCAGCATCAAAGTGGTTGTACCACCTCAGCTCTATTACATTTCATCCCTTTGACCGTCGAGTTGCTCGATCGCAGTCCAATAAGTTTCTCATTTTTTTTCCTTTCGCATGCAATGTGGCTCATTGGGATCGGCTTGTTTCAGGGAATCGTTCAGTATCACATCTTTCTTCTAGAGTCTTTCTGAAAAGGTCGTTTAGGAGCATGGAACGGCATATTTGATTCTTGATCGTTAACGGAGGTTGACCGCGGATCTCTCTCATACAGCAGAAAGTTGAAGCCATTGCAACTGATTTATAGCATGCAGTTGTTTATTCGAAGATTAAGCACCGACTTTGGCGTTGCACCACTTTTTCTTAAAAAGGGTCTACAGTTGTAGAGAACTTCTCTCTTGAAAAGTTCTCTATCTACCTAAATAATAGTATCTGAAGTCCAAATATGGCCGCCTCGCAGACGCACATCAAACACCGCAATGTAACTTTTGTAATCTTCTCGATCAATTACGTTCAATGTTTCAGGCGCAATGGCGATTCAGGTTTGACTTCAGTAGCATACCAACGATGGCTTATCCGAAGGAGGCGTAACAGTGGAACAGTTTACTACTTCCTTGAGAAACAACGAAGCTAATGACGTTTGATGTTTCAGGCAGCTAGGTACAGTCTATTGCGGTCCAGAATCAACAATCCACATTAGCCGCTGTTGCATACGCTCGCGGCTCCCGCAGCCGATATAAGCCAGGTGCCTTCGATGGCGGAGACATGCCATCACTCACCTTACCCCCGATCGGTAGCGTGGATAATCCGCTTCTCAAAACATCATCCTCAATCATCCTCAATCACCTTAACTCATTCTTAGTCACACTCATTTATCCTTATTCAATCACATTCATTCACACATTCACATTCATCCTTCAGTAATCAGCAGATTATTGTATCTCGTTTCTCAGCTTGTCTACGGTGCGATGTCAGTAGTGGCGGGTGTTTCCAAATGCGTTCTGTTTGCAACGCCATCGGTGGCATGTACCATTCCTCCCATAATGTACGCAATGCGTACAATGCCGCTAAGCGGCCAACTTATGCTATGTAGTCTGCTAAGCCGCTATAGGCTTATCAGCTTTGTAGCCATTTATAATACTGGCCCTTACCCTTAGGCAATGGTGGCACCAATCGATGCTCAAAGTTCACGTTGCTGACATAGCGTTATTCACGACTAGCTGCCTGACTGTGTTCCGTAGATGACCCATTATTCACTGTTCATAGCACCGTCAACGCTCATGTATATTACAGTCCTCATCGATCCACTAAAATGCTCCTCATCGCTATAATGTTGAAATCTTAGCTTGGGCGAAACGCGGTCAGTCTGTAACACTCACCACCTCAGCATACTGTCTCCCTCTCCGCGGCATACAGTCTCCTCCCTCCGCCCCTAGCATACCGTCTCCTTCAGCCGCCGCACCGCCCCGGATAGACGCGGTGCGGTGCTGCATCGCTTACGGCTAACCAAAGGCTACTTCGTTGTAATCTCATTATTATTGTTAATATTGCATTAATGGTATAATAACATTTGAATGCCATTGCCTCATTGTTAGCATCACTTCACTACAGGCCTTAGTACCTCAGAGCTCTAACTTGTCTCATTCCTCTACAATTACTTCTCTATCGTTACTACCATGCTACTAGTGTTGTGTTTATGTATTAAAGGTTTAATTACCAAAGTTTGAGGTTGGTAGATCAACTGCAACAACTAAAAGACCCGCATGGCTAATATTCTACATCAATCCATTCAGGAATCACCGGTACTTCGCAATGCCCTGTTGATGCCAGTGATGGGCTGAACTGCTTCTTCGCGCATATCGACGCGTGTAACTCGGGCAGTGATTTCCTTGGACGCGAGAATACGGCAACTGATTACTGTATTAGTTGGAGATACAATCATTTCCTTTATCTTTAGTTTTGAAGTCGTCGCAAAGAGTTCCTCTGTAATTCATCTGCGCAAATCACTCTCTAAGATGAAAATGAATACTACTGTGATCACAAGGTTTTTAAACAGCATACATTTACTTCCGTAAAAAAAACAATACAATACAACACTAGCTGACGTTTCGGCAGTATCGCCTTCTTCAGAGCCTGGAAGGGTATACAAGGAGAACAACGCGTCCACGCGAAACACTTGGCCAAAAGAAAATCCCGTTTATGTTGCCTTTTATAAACGATGAAGTAAGCGCAGCTATAAAACGATGCTTAAGAAGGGCAAGTCTAGAGGAATCGGTAGCGATAGTTGAAGTACCACCGGCTACTCTACGTCGCCAATTAGTTCGCAACCGCATGTATGACCGTCTTTGTTAAACAACAAATTGCGTAATTTGCCCTTACGGCAGGGACGGTGATTGCATGAGTTCAGGTACGATATACCTGATATGATGTAACAATTGCGGAGATGAATATATTGGCGAAATGGGCAGACCTTTGTGTATCCGTATAAAAGAACACCTAGATGGCAAACGAAAACTAAGGCGAAGCACCCCACTAGGCACGAATAGGATACAAAAGCACAGCGGAGACGATTTTGGAGTAAAAGTTACTATTACAAGATGTACCAGCAAAATACTTTCGACTTGTGAAGGAAGCATTGCCACTGAGACAGAAGATTCTCTTAGCTAGACAGCAAATCAACTTCCTTCGCCGCTGTTTTCAACATCGAGTCGTGCCGAAGTTTATACAACGAAAGCGACTTCACGAAATATGCGGTCAACCAGAGGCAGCCAACAAGTACGAGGCGTCGAAATGGAACTACTTCGAGCAGCACTACGAAGAAAACAGAACGAGATGTTTGCCAGAATGAAGAAGTGTACAACGAAGGAACATTTTTGTGCTTTGTATTTGGAGGATCCCCTTTGGAAGAGGATAGTTGGTAGGTCAATATTGATATGCGATTTTATTAGATCTAATGCCAAAATAACCTTACAAGGAAATATTTTGAGTAATTCACATGTCTCAGCTTCAAGAAACAACCGCAAACGATATCCTTACGCTTCTGATAATAGTCAAAATGTGGTTGATAATGCACTAAGAAAATCTAGGGTCACCGTGATTGGGGACATAACAATACCTGAGAATGCGCGCTCGCTATTAGAATTGGGCCCAAGTTTTGCACCATCACAGCCCATTTCTAAAACGACCCTGCGTAGGATAGCATGCAACCCTTATGAGCTTCAAGATCGACTCTCCGCTGTCAGGTAAAAGAAGAAACATCAGATAGAGATAAAAATCAAGAGGCGGCGGCACTACCACCATCTCCTTTCCCGAAAACGTTCTTTAGACAGCAGGACCCTAACGATGGAGTTGACACAAAATTCCGCGTGTTTTCGGACGGCGTTCTCAAGACCCTTGATCATTACCGCGATAGAAAGTTCATCTCTAACCTAACAGCCGCACAAAAATGTGGCATGCTGGAAATTAGAGAATTAATAAACTCGAAAACAATAAGATTGTCTGTTAGTGATAAGGGGGGAGAGTTCGTAGTTATCCCTCGCCAGCTGGATGTTGAGATAACAGAGGAACATCTTAGTGATGCCACTCTCTATTGCTCAACCTCCGAAAAGGAATACAAAAGTCAATACCGAAAGATAAACAATCAATGGATCAGTGTGGCAAAGGCTGCGGTTGTTTCGCACTTTAAAATCGATAGACCAACATGTCCCGTCCTATACCTACTTGTTAAAACACATAAGTTGGTATCACCTGATGATCATGCGTCAACCAATCCGTCATCATTTAAGGTTAGACCGATCATCAGCTGTGTAGACGGGCTATCGGATGGAATAACTTGGTTTTTAAGCCTGATACTTACCCAGTTGTTTAACCACATTCCAGCTCACCTCACAAACACCCAAATGTTCCTAGAATGCCTAATAACGCGTGCGTGATGGAGTCTTTCGACGTTACCGCACTGTACACCAACGAGTCAAATGACACCGCAATGCAAGCCATCTTCGAACTTCTTGTTGAACATGAAGGAAGAATAAATATGCATGGCTTGTCCATCCAGCAGCTAATGGCTCTCTTAAAGGAGTGCCTAAACTGATCTATTTTCAGATGGTCTGGGAAATATTTCGCACAAATAAGGGGGTTGGCAATGGGACAGCGATTGGCACCAAGCCTTGCCATTGTGTTTATGTCTAAGATAGAAGCCCCTGTTCTCGATTTCTGGCCACTACTCTACTGCAGATATGTAGATGATTATTTTGTCGTCTTCTCTACGCAGGAGGAGATGGACCAATGCTTTGAATTATTGAACGAGCAGTCCGAGTACATAAAGTTCACACGGGAGAAACCGAGAAAAAACTGGCTTCCGTTTTTTAAACATTCAAATAGACCTATTGACTAGCGGTTACATGACAAAGTGGTATCTAAAGCCAAGTAACAAGAACATCCTCGTTCATTTCCTTTCATCCCACCCTTCACACACAAAGAGGGCGATTGTGAGAAACATGTTTCGAACAGCCACCCCTGTGTGCACTACCAGGGAACTAAAGGAAGAATCGCGTGACTTGGCTCGGCAAATAGCCATCTCCAATGGTTACGAAATAGTAACCCCACGAGATAAGTTTAGAAGGAGAGAGAAGCGCCCACGCGAAACACTTGGTCAAAAGAAAGTCCCGTTTATGTTGCCTTTTATAAGCGATGAAGTAAGTGTAGCTATAAAACGCTGCTTAAGAAGGGCAGGTCTAGAGGAATCGGTAGCGATAGTTGAAATACCACCGGCTACTTTACGGCGCCAATTAGTTCGCAACCACCTGTATGACCGTCTGTGTGAAACAACAAATTGCGTAATTTGCCCTTACGGCAGGGACAGTGATTGCATGAGTTCAGATATGATATACCTGATCTCTTGTAATAATTGCGGAGATGAATATATTGGCGAAACGGGCAGACCTTTGTGTATCCGTATAAAAGAACACCTAGATGGCAAACGAAAACTAAGACGGAGCACCCCACTAGGCACGCATAGGATACAATAGCATAGCAGAGTCGATTTTGAAGGAAAAGTCAATATCCTAGCACAGGGGACTAAAACACATGCGCGAAAACTTATTGAGGCCTTTTGGATAAATGCCAAAAACCCTACAATGAATAGCAGGGAGGAATGCCCAGAGGTTGTATGCGACCTGACCCCGTATGTTCGCATCAATTTCTGATATGGAGTGGTGCACTCACCAATCATACGCGACTGTAATCAGCTGTTCTTATCCTCCTCATTGGAAGTCACGTGAAAAGCGGTGAGTTTTTCGAGAAGCTGTTGATCATGTAATTGCCATAGAGTTTTTCAAAGTGTTGTAAGTATTACTGATTATTGTAAGTATTATTGAAGCGTTCGGCCTAGTAGATTGTATATCAGTATACCCTTCCAGGCAGGCTCTGAAGAAGGCGATGCTGCCGAAACGTCAGCTAGTGTTGTATTGTATTGTATTCTGTTTCTCTATGGAAGTAAATGTATGCTGTTTAAAAACCTCGCGATTTCTAACAAGAAAACGACGCATTCATATTCCAGTGCCGAGGTTAATAGAAAGTCGATCCTCGGAACTGTGATCACAATTTTAACTTGTTATTTACTGCCTAATCTTTTTAATGGCAGGGTATACATTGTGAAATATAACTTCAATGATGCTGAGATATTTGCAAAACTCCGGACCGCAGGTGTATGCGGTGGGGAACGAGCACGCTATTGTCCTTACCGGGGAGTAGCGCACTTCACCACTACACCATCTGGGTCGTTCGTTTTGGCTGTCTCTCAGCTTGTTCTATCGATCTTTCGCCATCAGCACTACTGTGATCGATCGATGTTTGAATCTTCCCCATTCTAATCCTTAGATACCACCATTTTGAGAACTACCGCCAACTGCAACTGACTACATCATGGTGCTCTCAGTTCGTAAGTATCGATAACATACACACCTACCATTTAACGTATTCTTAGTTCTGTTTTGATGAATTCTCAAAAACGAAAGAAAACTTTGCAGAAGGCCGATAGTATCACTATCAATAGTGATCAATGATGCTTTCACCCAGTTGTTGACCACAATCTGCTAATGTGCAACATAATATAAACATTATTCTAAAACACTTATGAAACAACCAGTATGGAGTGGAATCTCTAGAACGCTTTAAAGGATGAAAATGGACAGAACCTTTATGTTTATTAGTTACTATTACTAGTGTGGAACATTTTTGTCACCGGCGGGCTACTTCCACTACCTTCTCTCCAAATTCAACAGAAACATGAAGGATATGTTCACAAGGTTCTTATCTCGATTTATACATGGTGGTATTCTGCACAAAATTTTAGGATCTGTGAAGCATCCGATATCCTTACAAGTAACCGAATGTAGTTGAACGAAATCAGTTCATTCATTCAATTATGAGTAACTTATACACTAGATAGAAGGAGGATCACCCCAGATTTCAAAGAGGTCTTGAGACTGAAGAGAGTGGACTGGTAGTGACTAACTTGTCCTCAGACGTAGATGACATTTGAAGGGTGAGGTGCTTTCTTACCATGCTGACTTATGCCCTTCGTGTTCACATACTCGTATGTACTTCATAGTTTGGTTTTATACGTATACGTGCGTGCGGTTTCTACAGAAGAATTCACGCAAAGAAATGGAATGCAAATAGAGTGAGCATCGAGTGAGTCCTCGAACATTGAAGGCATACGTAAAACTCGCGTGACACAGCGAATCTTTCGCAGGCGTTTGTCACAAAGGCTTCAAAAATAAAATAAATTGAGTTGTAAACTGCTTTTTTTTCATCAAACAATGAGCCATATTAACATCTTCTGTCATCTTGTTTTCTGTTCTTCATTGATTTCGAGAATTTCACCACTGAATTGAGTAGAGCGCAATATCTTTATCATCGACTATAAACTATTCTGACTCATAGATGGTACCTTTTCTGAAATGAAACTGGTTATAATAAATCGACCACTGGCTCATTAGTTAACGACGAGCAGTGTAGATATCCTTCGGCGCATTAGCAACTCCGATTAGGCACTAGCTTTTCAGCAAAGTAATTCTTCCAGCACTTTTTGTGATTCGGAAATGTGAACCAATTAGTCGAAAAGCTCCACAAAATACGCAAGGCATTCCAGCCAGAAGTTTAAAGATGAACCGGTTCAGTTAATACCAAGCTGGATTTCGGATAGATCTTCAAGGATTCCTTGTTCTTTCTTCTGAGAAAAGCTGAATATGCCGGGAAAAACATCATCGATGTATCAGGTCTTGTAAAGACGGTATCTTGGCGAGAACAACCTCAGAGTGGACCCCGCACCAGTCAAAAACCCGCTCAGATGAGGCTATATAAATACGGTCCGACGAATTCGTTGCACTAGAATTTCAGCTGCTTTGTTGAAATCAACTGTAACATTCTCAATCTAAAATACGATTGAACGAAATAAGCGAACAAAGCTGAAAAGCAAAAGCGTGGGGGAAATACAAGTATCGGCCAGTGAATTACCGACACAAGAAGGGATAACATGAATTTATTCCCTAGTAATTCCAGTCTTATCAGATGTAAACAAATACCATTTGAAATCAGGCATTAAACTATACTTTAATAGTATTCATTTTTCACCATCGCTATGGATTTCAGGTAGTTTTTTCGCTTCACTTGTATCATCTGTACTCCCGTTGATCGTCTAGTGACTCGAGCGGGCGCCAGTAAATCTGCCATTTTTCCCTGTCGCGTGCAAGAGTAGCCCAGTGGGTTCTGCTCGCTCTAGGGACACGCCGAACACCATATCTTTCTTTTAGGCTTTTCGTCAAAAACTGTGACCATCGAGTCGTTGGTGTACCTGCAGCACGTTTGACATCCAGAGGAATCCAATCGCTGACGGCTCCTGTCCGTCGGTTGCCGTTCATACGCATTACGTGTCCGGCCCACCATATCTTCGACTATTTGGCATACAAAACGGCATCTTTGATTTTTGATCGTTGACGCAGATCGGAGCTTCGGATCCCATCCCTTACTTGTATGGAACGGGATACTCCTAGCATCGTCCTTTCGACACTGCGCGTTCGATAACGCTGAGTCACTTTTCATCCTGATTTCGCAGCGACCAGGTTTCTGACGCATACGTTAGGGCAGGAAGTACCGTTCAGTCGAAAAGGTAGGCACGGAGTCGGGTGTTCTTTGTTCTCTTCACTACGTCCTCGATGCTCTTGAAAGCTTCCTAAGCCGCTCGTTTTCTTCTGCTCATCTCTGAAGCTAGGTCGTTCATCATATTGATTTTCCGACCTAGATAAATATAACTGGAGCATTCGGAGATATTCGCTCCGTTGAGCGTGAATGGGGCATGCGAAGCCAATTTCTTCAAGAACATCATTTTTGTGAGATTTAGTCGAAGACCAATCTTTCTACAGGCTTTATCAAAGTGGCCATGCTTACGTTCCGCTTGGCTAATGTTTGGGTTATAAGGGCGATGTCATCAGCAAAGCGAAGATGGTGTAACTGCCGACCACCGATTTTCACTCCCATATTATCCCATTCCAATGTATTCATGACGTTCTTGAGGATGGCGGTAAATAATTTTGGCGAGATGGTATAGCCTTGCCTAACTCCTCTTTTGACGTCAATGTTAATATCGTTTTGGAATAGTCATACCTTGGTTGCGAAATTTTTGTACAGCTTACGAAGATTCTTTATGTGCTGAGTAGGGACTCCTTGACTATCAAGGGCTTCCATGACTGCTTCTATCTCAATTGAATCAAAGCCCTTCTGTAAATCGAATAGAGCGCGACAGAGCGGTCTTTTGTACTCTCGCGATACTTCAATGAGCCTTGTTATCGTGTGGATGTGGTCCATCGTACTAAATCCTTATCGAAACCCTTCGTGCTCACATAGCTGTCCTTCGTCTAGTGTTCTGTCAATCTTGTTTAGCATTACTCGACTGAAAAGTTTGTGGACGACAGACAGAAAGCGGATTGGGCGATAGTTGCCGATATCCTGCAGGTCACCCTTCTTGCACAATAACACGGTCTTGCTGGTCTTCCACTGAGTAGAGACGTTGCTTTCAGACAGCTAACGTGTGAAGAGCCAAGCCAGTGTGTTTACGAGGACTGGCGGAAGGTTCTTCGGGTGTACTGGTCTTGTACTGCCCTGATTTAGTGCTGTTCGATTTTTCACCGACGAAATGGCATGTCGGATTTCGGAAGGGTGTACTGGTACAACATATCCATCGTCTTTTATTTCATATGACGGAACGTAGACGTGGCTATCGAACAGATTTGAGTAGTATTCGTGAATGATTTTCTCCATTGTCTTTCTGGACGCTGTAAGTGTTCCGTCTGGTCGTCGGAGTACATCCATCTTGGTCTTGTAATGGGCGAAGCTTCGTAGGGTTTAGCGAATGCTTTTCCCAGCCTTGCAGTTTCGAACGTTACTGTTGCTCTTCTCTCTTTAGGATCTTCTTTTATCGCGTGTCTGCACTGTTTTCCAAGTTCAGAAGTTAGATCGCGGTTTCCTGCAGCTCATGATTCCATGCTGCCATATCAGCTCGAGTCTTTCTGGAGACAGGCGTCTACTGGTGACTTTCGAACTCTCAGCTTCCATAGCGCAAAGGTGAAGATGTTGAATGAGCCGATTGTATTCCTCGTCGATGTTATCTACAACGGCACTTTCCCACCAGCCGACTAATGAATTGAATAACTCCTAGTTTACGGTGACTCTGGAACTTCGGTTTTTGAATTGAGCGGCTTTTTCTCCTTTCAGCGAGAAATAGAATCTTGCACAAGGGAGACGGTGGTCTGATACCGTGTAGAATTTTGGAACAACAGCGACATCGGTTAGGCAAAAACCTTCTATTTGCTATGATGTGGTCTATTTCGTTATGGTACTCTCCATTGGGAGACTTCCACGTCCAGCGTTGAGGGTGGGGCTTTTGGAATAGCAAGTCATCATGGATGGTCTTGGTCGTCATGATAAGCTCAGAGAGTCGCACACCCTGTTCGTGTTCCATCCTAATCCGTGGGTTCCAATGTGGCGTTCTTCGTACGTTTTTCTTGGACCAATCCTGGCATTAAAATCTCCAGTGGTGACCTTGAAGAATGTGTGGCCTTCTCTGTAGAACTTCTCCAAGTCTGTATAGAACGTTTCGACTTCTCCTTCGTCATAGTTTGATGTCGGCGCGTAAACAACGAAGATTGTCAAAGCCGGAATTGATCCACGTCTTCCTAATCGTAAACGTTCAATTCGGGTTATATTGTGCAAATGGATCGATGTTCATGGACAAACTCGTGTTGACGAGAACGCCGAAGCCGCCAACTCCTCTACTGTCGCATGTTCCGAGAAGCACGAGGTTTTATAGAGCGTGGAAATAGTGTGCTTGCTTCGCATAATATGGGAAGAGCATCCCTGAACAGGGCGGAACGCATTTTATCCTTCTTAAATATAAATAAGGGCCGCTCATTTTGCTTCGACGTTCCTAGATACTGGCGATTTTTGCTGTATATTCTTCCTAATATCTTTAGGCAGATAACTTCTGAACAGATATTCCGTTTGTTTCGAGAAAGCGATGACGTATGCGATGTCGTCGAGGACAACATTAGACGGTTAATGCAGGAAGAGAAGTGAGACAATTAAAATTTCTGACCCACAAAACGCTCTTTGCAACATCCAGAAAATGGATTTTCTATATTTTAGTTGATTGTTGAACTGTAACCATTTATAAATAAGTGAAAAATATATGAGACCACGTTAATGTCGGAAAAACTGGTGCGTTTCAAGCAGTGCCTATGTTCTAGGCCGAATGCTGATCTACCGCCTCGAACATTTTACTACGATCTACTCTCTGGCTCGTAAGTGTTGCTTAGAAATGCAACATAAATCTTCGTTAGCGTTGTCGTTTTCTAAATTATCGAGCACATATTTCAGTTCCATTTATATGCCGTCGCATTTGGAAGAGCATATCCAATCAGAGTATGTTAAAGTTGTTTCGAATTAGTCAGGGCGACAGAATTTTATCAGAGCAGCCTAATATTTGATTAGTTTCAGCTTAATGAAAATCTTTAGTTCAAGTATTCAGCCTGATGTATTGTGACCCTAGGTCGTCCAGTTCTTGCGCAACTGGTATAGAGCAGCACAGCATAGAACGAAGAACATCCGAAGCACTCCGACTCGAAGACTACTAGTAATTTGGCTGTTGACGGAGTCATATTTCATAAAGCCGCTTTAAAGTAATCAAAAAAGTTTCTCTCATTCTTTTGTTTTTCTAAGCGTAACTTAATGCATCTCTAAGATGAAACAATGGATTGCTCAAAAATAGCGGAATAACTCAAGTGGCCAACTCACAAAACGTATTATTGAAAAGATTCTAGGCTTGGAACAATTAAGAAACTCTTGGAGACGCTGCTGGACATTTTTAGTGGTTATTTTCGTTCAAAGAGAGTAAGGGCGCGTTGGTCCGAGGAGCCCCTTACTCTCTTTGAACGAATGGGATTGATTCCCGTTCCCAGGCCCACAGAGCCCTCCATCCCTCCGAGGTCGGCAAATTAATACCAGACTTGTCTAAGGGGATAGTAGTACTGGCTGGATGCATCGGTAGGTCAACGAAAGTCATTGTAAAGAATGCATTCAGTTACCTCCGGCGATGTTCAATGAGATCGAATGAGAGGCGCATCCCTCAGCGATAGATCAACTTTTACTCCTCTTGATTGCCTTAAATCTGAACCACCGCAATTTACAATAATAAAATTAATAACTTTCAAGCAGATATTTACAATAACCGTCAAAGAGAAATCTTGTTGAATGAAAGAAAATTCGTATCACTAGGTTTAATACTGAATATGATGCTCTGCGTCGAAACAGTCCCTAAGAAGAAACGAAACGTTCGCATACTTACTTACTTGATACTTGAATAGCCTGTCCTCACTGGTTATGCGTGCCCCAGCATAATCTCTACTTTTTGGAGATCTGCTGGTTAAGCCATTATGGTTCCCTGGAGTCTCGAGGTCAGTCTGGCCAAAGTCTGTCCCAGGTCTTCACCACCACAGGCAGTGGCCTCCCTAGTGGATCACCTTCCCAGCTTGGGAGACCCTGCCAGGGGATGAATCTCCTGCTATACATCGCAGTCCGACACCCAGAAACACCTCCCAGCGACGATGAGGCGGTAAACCGTTAGGAGGAATGTTCACATAACCACGAAGATACTATGAGGTGAGAGAAACACGAAACGTCCACGACCTTCGAACTTCCGATTATCCCTTTCGTAGACTCACGTTCTGTCCAAAACACCATCCGAGGCCCTTGCTCTTCCTTTTCGCTCAGCTCTGTTTTGCGCTATTGGTGCTATCGGTAAGTGCCATATTTATTTAATATTATTTTGATTATAATTTACAACCTGCCATGAAAAAGATTACGCAGTAAAGAAAGTCAAGACATTATTCACATGTATTAGAACTCTCAGAGTGAAAACATTACGAGGTGGAAGCCGAACTGAGGTTCCGAGTTCTGCTCATATCTCAGCACTGTTGTGGTTGTATTTCACATTATGGCCTGTCGTGGAAACAGAATAGGCACAAAATAAAGTGAAGACATTGTGGAGTCATTTGCACTAAGAAAATAAAGAAGCCACTGTAGACCGTTTCAAAAAAAAAGTGGTGCAACGCCAAAGTTAGTGCTTAATCTTCGAATAAACAACTGCGTGCTATAAATCAGTTGCAATGCCTTTCTACTTTCGAGAGAAGGGTAATTCGTTGAACTAGAGTAAAGAATCGTGGTAATAACATGACTTTATTTTAAAAAAATATTTTCGTTCTACAATCTTAACCTTTTTAGTTACTGCCTGCTATAATTTTTAACGGTAGTGTTTCATGTGAAATACAACTAAGATGATGCCGAGATATTTGCAAAGCTCCGAATTGCAGGTGTCTGCGATGAGGAATGAACCCGCCATTGCCCTTTCCGGGGATTAACGCGTTCACCACCACACCATGCGGGATCCGCCTGTTTCTCAGCTAGTTCTGTCGATCACTGCCATTAAATAAAAAGGTTAAGATTGTGACTATAGCTATATCCTCAGCTTAACCGGGTTCGTTGGCGATTTTGGCTTTCCAGATCGGTCCCGTTGACGGGTGATTGCTGATGGCAAGTGGTCGATAGAACTAACTGAGAGACAGGCGAAACGAGAGACCCGCATGGTGTGGTGGTGAACGCCTTACCTCCCGGAAAGGACAATAGCGCGTTCATACTCCATCGCAGACATCTGCGGTTCGGAGTTTTGCAAATATCTCAGCGTTATTTTAGTTGTACTGTCTTTTTAATCGGTTTTACCAATCGTCATGCAAGAAAACGAAAAGTTGCAGTCAGTTTTTAAACGGAACTAACAAATGTTGAAAACATGGGAAGTGAATTAAAGATATCAACTTATAAAGCTGTAGCGCCTATTACTAGTGAAGTCAAAGAATGGTTTTGTTAGAAAAGAAATACCAGATGANCCCGCCATTGCCCTTTCCGGGGATTAACGCGTTCACCACCACACCATGCGGGATCCGCCTGTTTCTCAGCTAGTTCTGTCGATCACTGCCATTAAATAAAAAGGTTAAGATTGTGACTATAGCTATATCCTCAGCTTAACCGGGTTCGTTGGCGATTTTGGCTTTCCAGATCGGTCCCGTTGACGGGTGATTGCTGATGGCAAGTGGTCGATAGAACTAACTGAGAGACAGGCGAAACGAGAGACCCGCATGGTGTGGTGGTGAACGCCTTACCTCCCGGAAAGGACAATAGCGCGTTCATACTCCATCGCAGACATCTGCGGTTCGGAGTTTTGCAAATATCTCAGCGTTATTTTAGTTGTACTGTCTTTTTAATCGGTTTTACCAATCGTCATGCAAGAAAACGAAAAGTTGCAGTCAGTTTTTAAACGGAACTAACAAATGTTGAAAACATGGGAAGTGAATTAAAGATATCAACTTATAAAGCTGTAGCGCCTATTACTAGTGAAGTCAAAGAATGGTTTTGTTAGAAAAGAAATACCAGATGAGCCACATGCCGCCTGACAACTCGCCAGCGATTGGAAATTATTAGCATTTCCACCACAGCCGGAGTACGTGAAACGTTTGCAGGATGTTGACGACGAATCATAGTAGAAACGAGTCGACGGTGCAGTACATGAGCCAACCGCTAACGGCACCGAGCACAGAGTTGTGCCTGTAGTAGTTGGAGAACGATTCAGTTTATCGTTAGAATAAAAATCGATTGAATTCATGCTGTGTGAAGATGATCAAAATGTTATTTTGAAAAAAGGTGACTGAAATTAGAGTTATTGAGCAAGCAACTAGGCTGCAAAATTTTATAACATGTTACCCTTTGATAGAGATTTCTTTGACCACGTTCAGCACTTTCAGTTTTATCTCAGCGCTACAGTGAATGACGATGTCTGGAAACGTTTCCAAATCAATTAGAATCAAAACTAGGCTTAAGAGGTCGCAGAGAATTGACAAATGTTTACAACGACGGAAAAAATACTGTGTGTGTGTGTGTAAAACTGTAACCACGGATCCGATGCCTATCTGAGGTCCCGAGTTTTGCCTGCACTTTCACTCAGTATCGTTGTTGTTGTACTACAATTCTTAGTCCACCATGAAATGAAAAGAAGACCCCATAAGTAAAAGTTGAAAGTTGTAATTCGTCTTTATGCTGCTTCAGTAGTGATCATGAAGGTTGCAAACTCTTGGTGTATTTATGTATACCTTCCTATAAACTGATATTATTGAGCTGATGTGAGGTTGGTAAATTCGCCGTTGCTGTTGTTGTTGTTGTTGTTGCTGTTGTTGATGCTGTTGGTCGATGGTTGACGTTTTAGCGAGTTCACCTTCCTCTGAACTTGGACGCATTTTATACAGGAATGACTCAATAATTCGGTGGAAAGAACCAAAGTATCCGTGAAGACCTAACGTATAAATAAACGCCGTATTGATCAAGAACTACTCACTGTGGGGTTACGAGTGGGACTGTGCACGAGTAGTTCACGTGGGAGGACGAGCGGGACCCACCACTGCCAAAAAATCTTTTTGAAATAGGGCGCCAGATCACATGTGATAGTGAGGCATCATCTTTCCGGCTTATTGGTTTCTGAAATTTATCCAAAACACCTCGAAAGGCTTGCGCGTTGGTGTGTTCGATTCCTGCGCTGTGCTAGGATCCGTACTCACTTTAAATCATCGTCATTGCGCTTTTGCGCCTTATGCGTACCTAAAGGAGTGTTTTGACGGATTCTAACTTTTCCATCTAAATGTTCTTTAGTGCGACACAAGGCACCTGCCCGTTTACCCAGTGTACTCCTCATTGCATGCCTTACACGGGATCAAATATATTTTTACCTAGACTCTTGCTATCGCCATCTCTCCCGTTAAGAGAGATTGGACAGTTTACTGAGGCTGCAGACCAGAAAGCAGTCATCATAACCTTTTTGGTGCAATTTCGGTTTTGGGAAGTGCTGTGGAGCTTGATCGCAATGCAACCATTGGAGCTGGACGTCGGCTATTATCGTATAGAATCCACTTCTCGGCGCACGTCACAATTCGATCAAGGGTCTTTTTGTTGCGCGGAATAAGAGCAGACTACAGTT